CTACTATACCCATGGACATAATCAAAGTGCTCAGAAGCAGAGGACTGTTTAAAATTGCTACACCCAATAATTTCTCCCATGACCACTCAGAAACTGATTTGGTGTGCTCCAGAGTGAAGACCGGCTAAACATGTTCAAAATGCATTTCTTAAAGCAATGTTTCAGCAGTGGGACGGGTACCGAAACAGACTTCTCCCTAAGACATCTAGACACCCAACCTTCTGGTTCCAGAACTGGTTCCCACCTGGTCACAATACTGCATTTGCCAAGGTATAGAGGGCAGTCCACGTGACCACACTTAAGGACTTCTCCAACAGCAAAGGTCTCTTCCCAAAATAAATTATGTAGAGCAAACTTGGAGACAAGATACAGTGGTATTTTACCTGTGGTTGAGGCATGCAATCCAGCAACACAACCCACAAATAATATTTAAAACATCACAAACGAATACAGAAACACTGTAGATACAAATACAAAGAGGCCTGATTTCCAAACTCTATAGTGCACTACTGATAATTTCCACGCAAAAGTAATATCAAGACCAGAAAACGTGGCAAAATGATTGTTCACGGGACATCACAGAAGAACAATGGACAAGAATATGGGCCTGCCCGTTTCTCAAGTCTGCAGTGATCTGTACAAGAGTCAAAGCAAAATAAATATTGACAAGATGGTACCACATTTCACAGAAACTAGCTAAAATGATGTTGGCTTGCTCTCCATTGTGGTGGAAGAATTGTGACCATCCAGCCTCCTGTGCATATGGCTGGTGGCAATGTGACATCATTAAAAAATTCTGGTCCACCATACTTCCTCATATCAAATCCATCATGGGTCATGAGATCCCTTTGACACCAGAAGTTCTCTTTCTAGATTATTGGCATGGGAAAGCACCATTACACACACCATAGAGTTAATTGTCACTTTATTAGCTGATGTGAAACAAGTAATTGCTACTAAATGGAATTCTACAATGCCCCTGACGGAACACCAATGGCTTCAGAAAGTCTGGGATAATTTCATCATGGACAAAATCTCCAACAATTTACTGAAGGCAGACATTTAATCCTAGACAAAATTAACTTTGCTGTTAAATGGTTCTCCTTCCTTGAATACACAGCTAAACATGATACTGAACCCAACAACCCCACCTATCAAAACATGCTACATTTCTAGGTGGACATTTAAAAAAAACAATTACCATTACATGTATAGCAATCACATAATCTTAAAAACTTTACATCTTTAAGCCACATAACTATCAAGCAATAGCACATTATACTACCCAGAGTGGTAGAATATACCAGATGGGCGGAATATAAATCAAATGAATGAATGAATGAATGAATGAATGAATGAATACCAAATTTATTTGTGGCTCAGTGTGACGTGGAAGGGTGCAGTACAGTTCACTTAGTATAATTTATCTTGTTAATTAGATAACTAACCCTGAAAAAGGAAAATTGTTTAGAGTATTTGGTATATATACTCAAATATAGAGCATTTGGTTTAACTTGTTATACAATGTATAATGAAGTATTAGGGTTTTTTTTTAGTTGAATGTTAAATTTGTTGTCTTTGTTCTCAGTTCCTATTTACAAAAAGCTTAATAAAACATTTTTTTAAAAATCTAGAGTTCTGGACACCACATATTATGAAGGATGCCAACACACTGGAGTAAGTTGGCATCCCTCATAAACTGTGGAGGGCAGCAGTGGGGATCAGGGAACTGCAAACCATGCCCCATGAGGAAAGACTGAAAGAAAGAAGTGGGCATGTTTAGCCTTGAGTAAAGAAGGCTGAGGGGAGATATTATAGCACTTTTCAAATCCTTGAAAGGTAGTCATACAGAGGAGGAGCAGGATCTGTTCTCGATGATCCTAGAGTACAGGACATGTAATAATGAGCTCAAGCTACAGGAAGCCAGATCTAGGCTGAATAACTTGCTTGTCTCTTTCTGAATGACATTCTGGGCTCTTATCTTTCCATAAAGCGCTGCCCACCCTTGGACAGACGCATAGAGTCCTGCGAAACATTGTGAAATTCAGTATATTGGCCCATAGAGCATGTGTGGATAGACTTTTATTTGTCGAAGACACAGCTTCCCTGCCCTTCTTATAATTTGTTACAGAAGTTCCATCGTCATCGTTATCTTCATCATTGTGTTCCACTAAACTCTTGCTTTGCATCTCTTTCTCTCTCCCCCCCCCACGTCTTCTTTATTTGGACTGCTTCCGTTTAATGTGAACACACACACACACACACACACACCGTGTTGCTAAGGATGTGCATCTCTGCCTTTGGTTCTGGACACCACACTTCAAGAAGGATGCTAACGAATTGGAACAAGTTCAGAGGAGGGTGACAAGGATGATAAAGGGGCTGGAAACCAAGCTTTATGAAGAAAGACTGAAAAAACTGGGGGTGTTTAGCCTTGAGAAAAGAAGACAGAGAGGAGATATGATAGCAATGTTCAATATCTGAAAGGCTGTTGTACAGAGGAGGGACAGGATTTGTTCTCGATCATCCCAGAGCGCAGGACATGCAACAGTGGGCTCAAGTTAAAGGAAGCCAGATTTCAGTTGAACATCAGGAAAAACATCCTAACTGTTAGAGCAGGACAACAGTGGAACCAATTATCTTGGGAGGTGGTGAGTGCCCCAACGTTGGAAGCATTCAAGAGAAAATTGGACAGCCATCTGTCAGATCTGCTTTGATTTGTATTTTTCCATTGAGCAGAGGGTTGGCTTAATGGCCTTATAGGCCCCTTCCAATTCAATTATTTTTTTATTTAAAAGGATATGAACTGGCAACCTTGGTCTAAAACTGAGGGTCCATGAACAGTTGATAGAGAGAGAGAAAAAGAGAACAGAAATGGTAGCCACAAATGCATAGAAACCTCTGATGTGCCCCCCCGAAAAAGAAAGAAAAAGATCTGGAACACCACTGACCACTAAATGTACTGCGACTAGACATTAATTAGGAACTTATTAGGAATGTGTTTATGCCAAAATGGCTACCCTCATGTTTGTTCATAATCACTACCTCTCACACACACCTCTGCTGGATGAGGTTAAGAATATAACACAATACTTGATAGAACTAATTATTATACAACATAAGCTACGCTGCAGTAATCTTAGACATACTTTGTTGTTGTTATGTGCACCAAGTCACCTCCAACTTATGACAACCCTCTGAATGAGTGATCTTCAAAACGTCCTATCCTCAACTGCCCTGCTCAGCTCCTGTAAACTGTAGTTTCCTTTAGGGAGTCAATGCATCTCATACTTGGTCTTCCTCTTTTCTGTGCTTTCAACTTTCCCCAGCATTTTTTCCACTGAAAAAATGCCTTCTTATGATATGCCCAAAGTAGGGCAACCTCAGTTTCAACATTTTTTCTTCCAGATATACTTCACTCTGCATTGGACCTAAGACCCAGTTGTTTGTCTTTCTAGCAGTCCAGGGTATATGCAAAGTTATCCTCCAGCACCATATTTCAAACAAATCAATTTTTTTCTGTCAGCTTTCTTACCAGACCAGCTTTCACATTCATTGTAAAATGCACCCTTGTCTGACACCTTTGCCTATAGGAATCCAGTCCATCAATCCATTTTCTGTTCTAACAGTAGCTTCTTATTCATAATACATCAGAACAATCAAGTGCAAAGGCACACACATTTATTTCGAAACAACACATAGTTTCTCATGATTTATATGAACAAAGGCTTTGTTGTAGTCTATAAAGCATAGACTGATATTCTTCTGAAATTCTTTGGTCCTCTCCAGTACCCAGTAGATATTTCCAATATGATCTGGAGTATCTCTTTCTTCTCAGAATCCAGATTGAACAGGAGGCATTTCTTGGTTGCCTTAGATGCAAAACGCCTTGAGTATCACTTTGCTTGCATGGGAAGTTAAAGCAATGGTCCTATACTCACTGTACTCCTTGGCAACTCTTTCCTTGGGGACTGGAATGCATATTAAATATTTTCAGTCTGTAGATATACTCACCTGGGTGTGAGTCATCAAGACTTAACACCAACTTCATGATTCTATTAGTTTTCAAGATACCACTTAGGTTTTTTGTTTGTTTGTTTGAATCACCAAGATATTAGTGGAACACAATGCAAGGACAGTAGAGTGAAATGGTCACCTCAGGCAGATTGCAGGTATCATCATGAAAGAGTAGCAAATGGTGAGTTAGGTAATGTGTTATCAGTTAAGTGCCCTCAAGTCATAACCCACTTCTTGGGACCCTAATACAGTAGGGTTTTCAAGACAAGTGGAGTATTCAAGGTTTTACCATACCAGTTCCACACCCCCAAGGAGTCTCCATGGCTGAGCAGGGATTGAAACCCTGATATCCCAAGACCTCATGTGTTACTCTGTCCACTACATGATTGATTCCCAGCCTTGGGTAACCCAGGTGTTCTTGAACTGCAACTCCCAGGAGCTTTCCGCCTCAGAAACGGGCAGGTGGTTTCTGGAATTGGCAGCCCAAGAACAAGGTTGGGAACCACTGCACCACACCAAATGGGATACCCAATGGGACATTATGGCCGCACTTTTATTATTCAGGGAGGGGAAGAGATGCTTGTGGCGTTGCCTGCCTCTTGCACCAGAATGTCACTTCTTTAAATAATTGTTATGTGTAATTCTTTTAAACAATACTATTTTTATACTTTGTAATTCTTGTAATGTTTGTTCTTTTTAAACCGCCTGGAGTCGACCAAACAGGGGAAAAGGCAAATTAAACGAACAGACACAGCTGACTTTCCTTTGTACATAGGCGTCAGTAAGAAGTGTTATTCGGCCGTAGAGTGTCTCCGTGCAGTAAGTGAGCGGACGAGGGAAAACCGACCACCTTTCCGAGCGCCAACGCTCCCGCCGGACTCGGACGGCTTTCCGACCACAGAGAGGAGCCTCCGCAGACGCGTAATCCGCGCGAGCCGCCTATTGGGGCGGGGTCGGGGTCAAGGAGGCGGCCCTGAGCAGGCCCCGCCCCCCGCCCCGTCAGAGGTCTGCCAAGATGGCGGCCGCCGCCGAGAGCGACGGGGAGGAGGAGGATTTGGTGAGCTTCGGCACTCCTCTGAAGCCCCTGGAGGAGGGTGAGTGAGGGGCGGCCGAGGGACGGGAGGAGGAGGATTTGGTGAGCTTCGGCACTCCTCTGAAGCCCCTGGAGGAGGGTGAGTGAGGGGTGGCCGAGGGACGGAGAAAAGCAAGGAAGGGCACGCATTTCCCATCCTTTTCCTCCCGCCCCCCCCCCGGGGAACCGCCGGAGGTTTAGCGGAGACTAAGGAGCGCCATACCCTACTGGTTTACTCGGGAGTAAGCCCCCCCCCCAGAGTATAGCGGCGTTGGCGTTGCACGATTGAATCCGTAAGGGAGCGGGGGGGGATTTTAAAGGGAAAAGGAGGAGGTCAGGGAAGGAAGAGGGGGGGCGGCTTTGTGTACAAGCACGGGAACTGTCCTTGAGTGGAGAGGATGGGGTTCCCAGAGATGTGGGGCTGGGGGCTCTTTGCAAGGACTTGAATCAAATGAGCCCGTGCGCCAAGAACTTGCCTTTGCACCCTCTGGATTGGGAATCACAGATATACCTGGCCTGGCCGGGGGGGGGGGGAGAGAAGGTTTCCATGATATGTCGCATTTTTTTCCTGCAACCTATGTTTGACCTAATGGGTGGATTTGAACTTCTTTATGAGTAATCTGTTCAGAAAAGCCAGGTTATAAATAAACATATTTGAACTTCCTTACTGGGTCAAATACAGGTTGCAGAGAAAATGTGAAATGTCATAGAAATCCTCTCCCTACTCGTGAGTAACAATCTAAACAGGGTGAAAGGGACCCCACCTGGATCACACCACAACTCTATTTATGTCATCATCTTGCTTTTGAGTGTAGTCAACTGGATGTCTGTAGGAAGGAAGACCAAGAGTAGGGTTCCTCCTCCAACTACCTTTCTGTTGCTTATAAAACTGGAAATTCTCTTTAGCTGTTGTGACTAATAACTGAGGATAAGTTTGACCCGTTTCCTACTTCCCAAGAGCTTTCATGCCTTTTCATCCTGGGAGAATGGTGGAGGAAGAGTTGTTGTTGATGTGAACCAGGCAAAATGGCAATAGATTCTTCAGTAGAGGTTGCTTACACTGCCTGACTTGTACAGCTTATGTACAGATGTCTTATCTAGAGATAAGACAGTGAAGTTCACTCACAAATTTACGGGATTTGTGAGAATATCCTATTTTTCTCTGTTCTGTGAAGGCAATACTTTTCAAACGTCATCCCAGCTCTTAAAAATGGATGCACTTTTTGTTATTAGTAATATTCATTAGTTTTTTCCTTCTCAGTCTCTTTTAAAAAAAGAAATTCAGTAACAACAAAATAAATTGATTGTGGTATTGTTAATGCATCCCTTTTGAGGGTGAGACCACAACCCATTGAAGACCAGTGATAGAGAACAAGAATTTTTCATTTCTTTCAGATACAAAGGTATAATTTTCACATGTCTAGCTAAATGATTACCTTCTTCAGCCTTCATTGTCAAATCATGTTAACTTAAATTTAATAATAACAGGTGAACGAATTAAAAAACCAGTTCCTCTGCAAGAGCAGACTGTCAGAGATGAAAAAGGACGGTACAAGCGTTTTCATGGAGCGTTTAGTGGTGGTTTCTCTGCTGGCTATTTTAACACTGTGGGTTCAAAGGAAGGTTAGTAAGCATTCTTGTCTGAATTTTTTGTTTCTCTTTCAATTTAATGTTGTGGTTGCTTATTGACAGAGCAGACAGTGTATTTATATAAAAAGTTAATAGTTTAGGACAGAATAATTGGGGCAGGAGATGGTGGAATATAGGCCATTTAGTTGCTTGATGTAAAAACAGGCTGATTAGATGAAAAATAGCATATGGTTCCTGTACCTTTAATTGTTGTATGAAGGAGAACATTTCAACAGGTAGCTTATATTAAGAGCTGTACCTGCTGAAACTTTCTTTTCTGAGTAGAGATATGATGGTGGTAGAGATTAGGTAAATATACTTGAGGTATTGCTACAAGTTTACGGAGTCCTGGATTAAAATTCTCACTTGGGCACAAAGTTCTGTGGGATATTTCTCAAACTGATCTGCATCACTGAGTTGTTGTAAGAATAAAATGAGGAAAGGGCCAAAATTCTATTGCATAGTTAAGCCTGTGGAAAGCAAATGGTGTTAACTTGCACTAGTTTCTTACTATTACGGTAATTCATGAATTCCTCCTTGGATCTTCATATACATATCAGTCTGGTTGGTTGACACATGCCTTATGATTCAAGCAGGGATTCATTAATTTCCAGCAAGAAGCTGCTGCATTTATTTTCTACAGGCATAACTGGGTAGTAGGATTTTAACTAGTGTCTGTAGACTTTCAGAGCAATATCTTTCAACAGCTCTTGTTCATCACAAAACATAAAGCTATATATATGAAGTTCCTAGGTAGGGTGTCATCCTTGTACCAATCACACCTGTACTTGTGGAGGTGAGCAAGGTAGCCTTAGGTACCCTGAGACTATGCTATGGGTTAATCAAAGAGTCACTCAACTTATTCCAGAGATAAAGTGAGGGAGAACTGTGAAGTCCCTTTAGGATTCATAGCTTGAAATTAGCATATTGCCGTATTTTTCCGTGTATAAGATGATACTTTTATTTAAAATCTTTAGACTAAAAATTGAGGATCGTCTTATACACAGAAGTAAGGAGGGGAAAGAGATCAAAGGGCTGTGATCCTGCAGCCTTTTCATGGCTGGTTTGCCTCTCCACCTCCTAAACCCCGTGGGGAAAGCAGCCATGAAAAGGTTGCAGGATCAAAGGGCTGCGGTCGCTGTTTTCCCCCTCCACTTCCACAGCCTTTTGATCCTGCTTTCGTGGGGTTTAATAAGTGGAGGGGGAAAGCAGCAATCAAATTTTCTAATTTGGGGTTAAAAAAGTGGAGGGCATCTTATACACAGGGTTGTCTTATACATGGAAAAATACAATAGTTTCTGTCCAGTATGTCCTAGCCTAAGGCTGGCAACGTTATACCTCCTGAGGTTTGGGATTACATATCCCATGGGCCCTAGCCAGCACAGGTGATAGTCAGAAGTGCATGGAATTATAGTCCAAGGTGTGTGGGAGGCATCAGGTTGTTTTACCTTGCTGTAGAAAACCAGTGCAGATGCTAGACTACTAATGAAGTCCAGATCCAGCTCACTGGGAAGCAAAGTGTTATTTGCATAATTATCTGAAATTTGATTCATGGCAACTGGACTTCTTTCTTATTAGATTGAAACATCTGGCTACTCATCCAAGTAGCTTCTTCAGTCTGAGGAAAGTTGATATATCCTCCCAAGTTGGTTTCACCTACCCCTAGTCTGAATAGCCTCATTAGGACAAAGGACTGGGAATGGCCCAGCACAGGAGGGGCAATGGCTCAGGACCACAGCCAGCAGTGTTCCTTCGTTTGAGGGACAAAGGACACTCATTTGATGACCACTTTGGACCGAAGTGGTTTAAAAGAGGGGTCAGGGAGACCATTCATCTGCATATAGAAAATCCCTCACTCAACAGGGGTGGAGGCCTTAGATACCATCTGTTTCCTGTTTATCATGCTGCCCTTTCATCCGTCCCCAGGAAGATTAGGACCACACATACTAGAAATACCACTGTTAACAACCCTTAAGGAGCCATGACAGTGGGTGGAGAAGGACTGCAGAAGTGGGATTTTCACTCACCCCCAGCCCTTTGTCCTTCTAAGGAGGCTATTCAGACTAGGGGGAAGTGAAACCAACATGGAGCATGTATCAGGGATCTCCTACCGACTCTCAGAGTGAAGTAGCTACAGTACTTAGATGAGTAGTGAAATGGTTCAACCTAATAAGAAGATGTCCAGTTACCATGACTCAGCTTCTAGATAACCTCACCTGGGTGATTGAGAATCTTAAGAGATACTTTGCATAATTATGTTACCTGCCCAGAGAGTGCTGTAGTAGTGTGGGGTGGTGCACAAGTCGAAGTAAAAAGCAAAGCATGCTGCTTGTATATCGCACCATAGCACTTAAAGCACTCTCTGGGTGGTTTACAAGTTAATTGTGCAGGCTACACATTGCCTCCCCAGTGATCTGAGTACTGTACTCATTTTACTGATCTCAGAAGGACAGGAGGCTGAGTCAACCTTGAATCTACCTGGGATTGAACCCCTTGTTGTAAGCAGAGTTTTGGCTGCAGTACAGCAATTTTAACTACAGTGCACAACAACAACAAAATAAAAAACAAAAACCTTGCACACCTTAAAGAGAAACTGTTTCAATATGAGTTTTCATGGATTCATCAATTTCTTCAGGCATAGTGTATTATAAATAATCTGTTTCATAGCTCAATTCTATACATGATGACTGGTAACTCCCATTCATTTTAATTGGATAAAATTATTCTCAGTTTAAAATCTAAACCCTCATTTCTTCTGTAAAGCACTGCACTAGTTCTTATATCTTTCGTTTTACAAAAATGATTTCTTGCGTTTAAAGGATGGGCACCATCATCCTTTGTTTCGTCAAGGCAGAAGAGAGCAGAAAAAAATGTCCTGGGGCCAGAAGATTTTATGGACGAAGAGGTAAATTTACAGAATAATGCATTTTCAAAAATCATGTCTTTTCCATACCTTGGGATTTTATAGCTCTGGGTAGATAGAATGCATACAGTCATGGACAAAAATATTGGCACCCTTGCAATTCTGTCAAAAAATACAACCCTTCTCTCACAAAATTGTTGCAGTTGCTAATGTTTTGGTACTCACATGCTCATTTCTTTGGTTTGCTTTGGAACAATAAAAAAACAGAGAAGAAAAATCAAATCTGATACAATCCCACACAGAAACCCAAAATGCACTGGCCAAAATCATTGGCACCCTTAACTTAATATTTGGTAGCACCCCCTTTGGAAAACATAACTGAAATCAATTGCTTCCTGTAACCATGGATGAGTTTCTTACACCTCTGTACTGGAATTTTGGACCACTCTTCTTTTGCAAACTGCTCCAGGGCCTTAAGATTTGAGGATGCCTTCTCCCAACTGCTGTTTTGAGATCTCTCTACAGGTGTTCTATGGGATTCAGATCTGGACTCGCCATTTCAGAACTCTCCAGCGCTTTGTAACCATTTCTGAGTGCTTTTTGAAGTGTGTTTCGGGTCACTGTCCTGCTGGAAGACCCATGACCTCTGGTGGAGATGCAGCTTTCTGACACTGGCCACTATGTTGCACCCCAAAATTCTTTAGTAATCATCAAATTTCATGATACTGTTCACACAGTCAAGGCATCCAGTGCCAGAAGCAGTAAAACAACCCCAAAACACCTTTGAACGCTGTCTCCATCTGCAGTGATCATGGAGCCCAGGAAGATAAAATTTGACACTGCCTCCATATCTTCCCCTTCTATTTCCCAGGAGGTGATGGGACCAGTGGCCATGATCTTAGTTTTTTTGATGTTGAGTTTCAGACCGTTTTTTGCACTCTCCTCTTTCACTCTCATTACAAGGTTCTTTAATTCCTCCTCACTTTCTGCCATCAGAGTGGTATCATCTGCATATCGGAGGTTGTTGATATTTCTTCCGGCAATCTTAATTCTGGCTTGGGTTTCTTCCAGTCCAGCCTTCCGCCTGATGTATTCTGCATATAAGTTAAATAAGCTGGGGGACAGTATACAGCCTTGCCGTACTCCTTTCCCAATTTTGAACCACTCAGTTGTTCCATGACCAGTTCTGACTGTTGCTTCCTGTCCCACATATAGGTTTCTCAGGAGATGGATAAGGTGGTCAGGCACTCCCATTTCTTTAAGAACTTGCCATAGTTTGCTGTGGTCCACACAGTCAAAGGCTTTCGCATAGTCAATGAAGCAGAAGTAGATATTTTTCTGGAACTCTCTGGCTTTCTCCATAATCCAGCGCAAGTTAGCAATTTGGTCTCGAGTTCCTCTGCCTCTTCGGAATCCAGCTTGTACTTCTGGGAGTTCTCGGTCCACATACTGCTGAAGCCTACCTTGTAGGATTTTGAGCATAACCTTGCTAGCATGCGAAACGAGTGGTTCTCCATCTTAATTGGTTGCAAGTCTGATTGCTATATTGCCCATACATCTTACTTGTGACAGATGTGTCGAAATACAAATTAAAGGAGCGTCACATGCTTGAAAAGCAATTATTTCTTATAATTTAGACAGGGTGCCAATAATTTTGGCCAGTGCATTTTTGGGTTTCTGTGTGGGATTGTATCAGAGGGGGGGTTATGTTTCTGTGCTGTGTTTGTTTTTGTTTTGTTTTTGTTTTTTTGCAGCCTTTGGGGCTTGCTCTGTTTTTTTTTTGGTTGTTGTTTTTTTAAAGCCCCAGCGCCTTCCGGTGGGGCTTTCTGTGTGCTTTAATTATTATTTTTTGTGTATTTTTTAAAAAATGCTGGAAGGGATTAATCCTGTTCCCATGCATTTCAATGGGAAGTGGTGCTTCAACTTACGAAAATTTCAAGTTACGGTGCCGTTCCAGTACAGATTCATTTCATAAGTCGAGGCACCACTGTATATGTTCTAATTCTTTTGCATTATGTATGTATGTGTTCTGCTTTGTCTTCTACGTCAGTGGTTCCCAGCCTTGTGTCCATAGATGTTCTTGGACAACAACTTGCACAAATCTGGGAAAGCACAACTAGTGGTGATGGCTTCTGAGAGTATTAGTCAAGAACATCTGAGGATCCAAGATTGGGAACCACTGTTCTAGGTGCATCATAAAACACTGGGTGTATTTTGCACAACAAAACAAGTCAGGGATTTATAGCAACTGGGACTTATGAGTGAGCAGTATGCTGATGCGCATTGTTTGATTGCTGCTGTTTGTTGTGGGACTAGCTAGAGAACCACAGATACAGTGGTGCCTTGCTAGACGATGATAATCCATTTCACTGAAATTGCTGTTTAGTGAAATCATTGTCTAGCGAAAAGCATTTCCCCATTGGAATGCACTGAGACCTGTTTAATGTGTTCCAATGGGGAAGAATCATCGTTGTCTAGTGAAGATCGGCTATAGGAAAGCCGCTTTGCAAACCGCCGATCAGCTGTTTAAATCGCTGTCTTGCGAAGCTTAGGTCCCGAAAACACCTGTTTGCGAGCACGGAGGGAGCTGTCAAAAGCATCGTCTAGCGAAAATTGGTTTGTGAAGCAGGGACCAAACATTGTCCAGCGAAAGTCCCCCATAGGAATCACTGTTTTGCGAATCACTATAGCGATCGCAAAATGCCAATGTCTAGCAAAAAAACTGTCATACGGGGTAACTGTCTAGCGAGGCACCACTGTAGTTTTATTGTATAATCTCACAGTGGGCAGCTTTTTGTAGTTTGTTTCATCCCCAAGACCAAAGACACAATCAAGGGCTTGTTCTTGCTTCTTTTTTTTCCTTTGTTTTTTGACGGGGAACTTCCAGAGAAGGAAGCTGCCCTCTATCAGACAGCACAGTGAACCAGCTGTGGAACAAAGCTCAGTGGTTTGTTCAGCTGTTCCCAAACAGTGTGCATTTATGGGTTTGTTTATGACAAAGGGACGTGGTGGCGCTGCGGGCTAAACCACAGAAGCCTGTGCTGCAGGGTCAGAAGACCAAGCAGTCGTAAGATCGAATCCACGCGACGGAGTGAGCTCCCGTCGCTTGTCCCAGCTCCCGCCAACCTAGCGGTTTGAAAGCATGCAAATGCAAGTAGATAAATAGGGACCACTTTGGTGGGAAGATAACAGCGTTCCGTGTCTAAGTCGCACTGGCCATGTGACCACGGAAGATTGTCTTCGGACAAACGCTGGCTCTATGGCTTGGAAACGGGGATGAGCACCGCCCCCTAGAGTCCAACACGACTGGACAAAAATTGTCAAGGGGGACCTTTACCTTTACCTTTACCTTTATGACAAGTCAGGTTTTCCATGACAAGTCATGATGCCCATTTAGTATAGCTTGACTTAGTCCAGAAATGTCTTTTCGTGATCGTGGTATAAAGAAGTTACTCTTTATTTTATTTTGTAACGTTCACTTCAAGATTAATTTAATGTGTGGGTTTGAAAATGAATCATTTACCATCTGAAATCTTTGCTCGCCTTTTCTTCTCTCACCCCCTCCTGGAAGGATCATGATGAACATGGGATAGCACCAAGGGAAATTACAATTACAGATGAATATGCTTCCAAAAGCAAAGATAAAATAAAGGAGAAGGCCAGACAAATTGCAGGAATTGCTGGACCCATCCCCGGAACCACAGTCTTGGATGAATTTATAGCACCTGCAAAGTAAGTATCAATATCCTGTGCCATATTATGATTAGGTAAGGGCTAATGTGGTAAACCTCACTGCATCTTTGAAAGCTTTTTTGTCATAAACAGATCAGGACAACCTAACATTGTTTTTCAAACAAGCTTTTCTGATGTTAAAACTAGGGCTGTGCTTTAAAAACCTAGTCAGTAGTTGTCTAAATGTGTGTATTGTTTACAGAAGGATTTTAGTGTAAGCATTTGCAGTAACAATTTCAATGTTCTCTTTTCAGAATAACTATTGGTGTTGACCTGCTGAGAAAAATGGGCTGGAAAGAAGGGCAAGGAATTGGACCCCGAGTAAAGCGAAAACCACGCAAGCAAAAACCGGGTGTGCCATTATGTTCGCTGGGGACTAGTTCAGTGGCCTCCTGTGGATATCGAAAACCATGGATAATAGTGAACACGATAAAAAACCAAGATGAACATTGTTTTCACATACATTGTCAGAACTTGCCACTAGGGCAGTGGTCCCAAACCTTTTTAACCCCGCAGACCAGTTGGGGAAGGCGGGCCACTCCCCACCGTGCGCATGTGTGAATTAGCGGGAGGGCGCTCGTGCACATGCGCGAAGGGTGGGGTGGCGCTCAGGGGGCATGTGTGCATGCCCGAAGGGACTGTGTAGGGGAGGGAGCTCTGTCTCCGTGGCCCGGTCCAGCTCGCCATGGACCGGCACTGGGCCGCGGACCGGGGGTTGGGGATCACTGCATTAGATGGTGCCAGGGACCATGGTATGTATTCCTCACTAGCAAGTATTCATAGCATGGTCTGTGTCTCCATCCAGTAATACTTGTGAAAAAAAATTCTGGATCTTTTTCTTTTAATACTTTCGGACTGTGGATAAATGAAACTGGAAAAATGGGTTGGGTTGAAGAAAATGTAATGATAAGCTACAGTATTTAATCTGATATCATCATACTTGGTTGCAGAGCCTGATGTGAAAATATATGGCTGTGCTTTACCACCTGGATCTGAAGATTCAGAGGTATTGTTTGTACATTGTTTTCAGGACATGGGAGTGGTTTGCTGATTTTTTAAAAATGTAGTCCAAAGTCATGCAAATAAAGAAAATGAGGCTTTGAAGTTACAGTATAAGTAACATTATTAAGGTTAAAGAGACTTTGAAGTTAACAGTAATAAAAAACATACAGTAATAACATTATAGTCATAAATAACATTAATTTCCAGAGTATAGCAGTCAGAAGTCATTTCATCCAGGAGATTACAGTTTAGTAATTTACAGTGAGACAGACAACAAAGGAAATAAAAAGCAAGGATTGTATAGCATAAACGTAAAGCAAGGCTTTCACTTACCTTGGTAATGCTCTTTCATTAATATATGCTAACTTTCTAAAGGAAGAAGATGAATATCAGCCAGAAAATGTGACATTTGCACCTAAAGATATAATGCCTGTGGACTTGACTCCTAAAGAGAATGTGCATGGACTTGGTTACAAAGGACTGGACCCCACCAGTGTCTTATTTGGAGTTTCAGAAGAACATCCAAACTTTTTCAGTCCAACTTCTGAAAATTCAGCTTTGCTTGGTGATTTGCAGCACAGTAAAGGACGGAAGCTTGGTATTTCAGGCCAGGTAAAATGTTTTAAATTAAGAATTTATTAACCTTAAAATTAAACATTTATTATGTTATTATGAAGAGAGAGAGTTTATTTATTTAATTTATGTACCACCCCATTAGTGGACAAGCAGTTTATGTTAAAACCTACAAATCCTGGAGACCCCACTTGGCAATACATATAGTGTTAAGAATTTTGATTAAAACATGTATTCTCATAACATCAGCAGAGTAAGGAGATATTGGTTAGCAGAGATACTTATGACACTATGACACAGAGAATGAAACCAAATTAGTCTATTTACATATATACATACAGAATAGACATTCTCTGGCAGCATGACATGAATCAACATACAGCATAGGAAAAAGTGATTCCAGCAGATGAAGACGTTCATTTTACACATGACTTATGTACAGTTCTGTGACCAATCAGAAAATACATTACTTCTTTTCCTGTTTCACAAAGTTTCATCATCTACCATAGCTGTACAACATTAAGTCTTAATGCTTGATACCACACCTGAATTCAGTCTATAAAATGACTCAGGTAAAATCAGCCATTTTGCATTTAACATTTAACTATACAACATTAATATTTAATACATTCACATCAAAATCTCAACATATATAACAATATGGCCGTTTTTTAAAAAAACAATACAAAATAAAATAAAATATTAATATTACCAGTTTCCAGGAGATTCACTTGTTAAAGGCAGCTTTGAATAGTTCTACTTTTGAACTATAAGTGAGGAGCCTGTTATATATCTGCTGGTAACTTATTCCAGATAAAGGAGGCCACCACTGAGAAAGCCTGGTTCCTTGTCTCCACCTTTCTGGATTCCCTCGCTTTGGCCACATTTAGCACCATGAATTGAGAAGAGCCAGTGGATGAGCAGAGCTTGGTAAAATCTTTAAGATCAAAGGACAGAGTACAATTGCTAGTGCTCGGAGAAATTTTAAAGGCTAGAACTAGCATGTCGAATTGTTCCAGAAGCAAGTAGATGGCCAGTTGGTATAGAATACAGTGGTGCCTCACAAGACGATGTTAATTTATTCTGCGAAAATTGCTGTTTTGCGAAAAAATTGTCTTGCAAAATGCAGTTCCCCATTGGAATGCATTGAAATCCATTTAATGCGTTTCAGTGGGGAAAATAGTTGTTGTCTTGCGAAAATTGCCCATAGAGAAAAACCATTTTTCAAAGCGCGGATCAGCTGTCAAAATCATTGTCTTGCAAAAAACGGTCTCGAAAACCCCCCGTTTTGCGAGCCGCGGACCTATCTGTCAAAATAGTCTTGCAAAAAACAGTCCCGAAAAAAAACCGTCTTGCGAAAAACGGTCCCGAAAAAAAACTCTTGCGAAACACGGACCAAAACATCGTCTAGCAAAAATCGTCCATAGGAAATAACGTTTTGCGAAGTGCTATGAAACATTGTCTAGCAAAAATCGTCCATAGGAAAAAACGTTTTGCGAAGCGCTGTGGTGATCGCAAAAACTCACCATCTTGCAAATAAACCATTTTGCGAGGTAATCATCTAGCGAGGAACCAGTGTAGATGTGAAGTCTTCCATTGGAAAAGCTTCTATAAGCCATCTTGCTGCTGCCCTTTACGGCAGCTCCACCTAGAATACATGACCGTTATCCAGTCCTAGTCGCCCTCTAGGTGTAGGTGTACTTCCATTCCTATAAGTTAGAGGTCGTCAACCCCCGGTCTGCAGCCTGTAGGTGTACTTCCATTCCTATAAGTTAGAAGTCGTCAACCCCCGGTCTGCAGCCCGGTACTGGTCTGTGGCCTGAGCCGGACCAGGCCTTGAAGACAGACCTCCCGCCCGCACTCACCCCCGCAAAGGCTGTTTGCTGTGCCACCGTATGCGCGTGTGCACCCGCACAAGTGCCGCAGTGCTGTTTGTGCATGCGTGCACAAGCGTGCTCATTCACGCATGCGCATGCACACCGACTTCCCCAGCCGGTCTGCGGGGTGAAAAAGGTTGGGGACCCTGCTATAAGTCACAGCAAGTCTGCTGATAGTCAAGTGGAGCACGTGAAAAAGGTTGGGGACCCCTGCTATAAATCACAGCAAGTCTGCTGATAGTCAAGAACAGTGGAGCAGTAATCCATCAGTATCTTCAAAGTCATCAGCCTTCAGAAGGGCATAAATAATGAAACTAAAAGCAACAGTAATACAGTATCCTAGTATAAAAGCCATGGTTAAAGTTATAAACATGAAATTGCAGAGTATCTCAACAGGTAAAATATGAGAACAAAGCTGAATGATTATCTAGAGCCTGAGCAGCTGGTATTCCTAGAGTCGTGGCAAAATAACTTTTTTACAATAGAAGGTCCATTTCCTAAGTGTTGATGTAAAAAGGTCCTATCCTGTATCATTGCTATTTGGATCTATAAGGAACAAGCCATTAGCTGAATACTCAGGCAAGCTTGCATGGAAGAAGATGGTGTTATACCCTCTAACCCAAAACAATACTGAGTTTTAAAGGTAATCACTAGCACTTTTACTTGTGCCCAGAAATGAATTGTCTAAAGCAGCATTCTAACTTAACAAAAAAAGAAGGCTTTAAAGCCTACCTGCACAGCCACAGCCTTATCAATGTTTCAATGTAGCCGCCCCGAGTAGACGTTGTCTAGAGGGGTGGGGTAAAAATCAATCAATCAATCAAACAAACAAACAAACAAACAAACAAATAAATAAATAAATAATGCAGCTCTATTCAGCATCTGACATCAGCCATAAATTCTCATGTAAATTGTGGGCTATTAAAGTAGTATCCAGTTGTGAGCGCTTTATATTCTCTTATTTTTCTTAGGCATTTGGTGTAGGAGCTTTAGAAGAGGAAGATGATGACATTTATGCAACTGAATCACTTTCCAAGTATGATACTGTTCTGAAAGATGAGGAGCCTGGAGATGGGTTGTATGGCTGGACAGCACCTAAGCAATATAGAAGCAAGCAGGGTATGGAACTGGAGCATTCAAAGCCCCTCAGTACTGTTACTTTTTAACGTTCTGGTGGGAGCGGTTCTCTGGGATGAGTTGCCACGTGTATATGCTCTGTTCTTTGTATGCTTTGAAATCACTTTTGGATCCTGCAATTCTTATACAGGTATAGAGAAAGAACTTAAATGCATTGGAAAAATTTTGGATGGTTTCTCACTGGCATCTAAGTCAATAACTCCCCCCAAGGTATGTGAACTGCATTTGTTTCCCCTGCAAAGGGTATGTCATGGGATAGCTCTATTTTCTTATATTTTCAAAGTGGAGATCTGCCAAACCATTCCATGTGTTGTGTTGCTTTCTCTTTAAAAGATCTATCCTCCTCCTGATCTGCCAAGAGACTACAGAGCTGTCCATTACTTTCGACCTGTGATTAAAGAGAGCAGTGAGAACCCCCATTTAGCTCAGACATTAGCAGAATCTACTGGGAAGCTTGAAAGTGATGCAACGCAGCCAAGTAGACACCAAAAAACTGCTTCTCAGAGGAGGGAATTGCTGGGTGAAACCAGTCTGAAAGGTACCCAACATTACCTTGCACTTTACTCATTGTATCATTGTTATCTAGATTTATTTTCTCTGATGTTCTTTGGGGTGTTTTTTATTATTATTGAAAATACATTCACATCCTAAATGCATAGAGGTTCTCTCCTTATCACAGCACAAAAATGTCCAGTTGTTTGGTTGGGTTTCTCCCTACTAATCCTATATAACTAGCATATCAGCATTCTGATTTAATCACACATTTTGGGCCCTGTTTCCTCTGTGTGCACATTTTTAATATCATGTTTATCATTCTTTTGCACTGTTTGTTGGATTTTACAGACTATTCTGGATGTCCTCAAGCTTTAGGTATTCACTGTCTTCTGGGCATGGAGCTACAGATACTCTATTTGAGATGAGACTGGGGAGTAAAAGTACTAGGCATTTGTATTTTTGATTCTCTCTGTGTCAGCATTATGTCTCCTGAGCACTTGACAATTGCTTCAAGTGTACATGAGGCATCCATAGCCCAACATTCACCTTAGAATATTACCATAGAGAAATGCTTGGCATAACAGAATGGTTCTCTGATTTTCAGGCTTTTCTAATATCGAATTTCTGCTCTGTTGCAAATGTACATTAATGGCTTTAACACTGCTATCATATGTGCACACAGTTTTTTTTAAAGCAGTCTTTAAAGCAACAAGAAAAATCCCGCTGGGAAAAAATGTAATTCTGCTAGTGATTTTTCTTTCCTTTTTTAGGTCCGGCAACTTCTGTTCTTGAGTATTTGTCTGATAAAGACAAAGAGAGAATCCAAGAAATTAAACAGGCTGCAGAGCAACAGGTGAAAACACCGGTTCAGCCTCGACAACCCCTGCATCACAGAGCCCAGCCATCTACTCTACAAGATGCTGCAACTCCACCCAAGTGGCAGTTAGTACTGGGGGCCCAGTTAGCCACAACTGGTTCCAGCGACTTCAAACCATTTGCAAAAAAGCCAGAAAAACAGAAGAGATATGAAAATTATGTACAAAATCTTAAACATGGAAAAACCGGTAATTATCACAAACACACACACCTCTTGAGCCCATCACAACACATGTTCTACATCTTGATCCAAGTGTTCTTGTGATAATTAGAAGTACAGGTAGAAACAAAACTGCAGAATAGCTTTGGAAGGGGCATTGTGTCAAACTGGTGCTGAATGTTAGAAATTGACTGTGATCTTAACTCTGGTCTATTTCTCTCGTATTCTTCAGAGGCAAGCAAAGTTTATATGAACACATTATGCCGTTTTGATACAGAGCCTATTATTATTGGAGCTTATTGAAATGGTTATTGGAATATAATAGTACAAGAACTTTGCTTTTTTCACCAGTTTGATGCCTTATCTTTCTTGATAAGTTCATTATATATTTTTGCTTAAAATTAGACATTTATTGGTGTAAACCAAACACTATTGTTTAAAAAATGTCCCCTTTCTATATTTTTTCGTTTTATGGACCACTAATTTCTCTTTCTTTTATCTTCCAGGAGAGGTGCTAGAAAGTTGTTTAGACCCAAGCATGACAGAGTGGGAGCAAAGAAGAGAACTAGAAGAATTTGCTCGCGCTGCAATGCTGTACAAAACCTCTAGTTCTGTCTTGTCTTCAAGATTTACTTCTGCAAAGCATGAGGACGATGCTGACAAAGTAGAAATCCCAAGAGATCAAGAGGTGTGTTCTTCTTGTGTCCTACAGTAACTACCAAACTAAGATCACTCTTTTTAACCTCCACAGTGCTGATCCATTTGAAAGCCTTCTTTTCTGCGAAATTTTGTTCTTCAAAAGTGATCAAATTTACGTATAAATAAATACATGCTTGGTGTTGGAATTGGTATGTGTTTAGTATAACTAATGTGTTGCTTTGTATAGGTACTAATCACTTCATCGTTATTTTAGACAGATGTCGATGACAAGGCAGCAGCTGCAAAAATGAAGATGTTTGGCAAGCTCACGAGAGAGAAGTTTGAGTGGCACCCTGATAAGCTATTGTGCAAAAGATTTAATGTTCCTGATCCCTATTCAGAGTAAGTTGGCTGAATTCCAACACTTTTCCCAAAATAGCTCTGAATGGTTTGAACAGAATAAGCTGTTAGGTAACAAAAGGAAGCAAAGAAGAGGGTTTTTATTATTATTGATTTCTTTTATCATACAGATCATCTATGATAAGCTGTATCTCACTTTCTAGGTCTTCTTGGTTGTCCTGTTAATTTTACTTTTTTAAAAATTGTAGACTCGCAATCTATATTTTAGATGTAAAACACTGAGAAGTATGTTTCATTTGTAAGCACTGTTAGTTGTTTCTCATGGTAAATGATCTTATTTCTCTGTGGTAGCAAAAGCTCGGGAAAAATATGATACAGAAACACAATGTGTTCTTGCTGTTTTCCATCAGGTCCTGTGTTGTTGGACTGCCCAAAGTGAAACGTGACAAGTACTCTGTATTCAATTTCTTGACAGTATCAGAGCCCACATCAACCACATTAGGCCAGTTCCCAAAAGCAGGAGAACAACAGTCGAACACTCTGAACAGTAAGTCCTTTGTTCTGTTGCTGCTCTAGGTAAAACATTCAAACTAAGTATTTTTTTTAAATGAGAATCAGTAATGAATGAGCATTACCAGTTTTTCAGCAGTTCAGAGGAAGAGTCCACAGGTGGGTTTAGCCTATCACTGCCCAGATCAGTAACGTTGAAATAGTTTTCACTGGCTCTAGAGCCCTTTTCCAGCTGGTTTGCTTCCTGATTTTGCTTCAGTTTTCTCACCTATTGTTCCTTAATGTTTCTTCTTATCTTTGTTTCTTGCAGTCCTCTTTTTTTATATAAAAAGCCTTTTGATTATGATTCTGTGAAGGTTCCTCTCCCAGACCACAGCTTGTAATGGCCACTTCCATGACCTTTTCAGTTGATACTTCCTGGGCAGAAATTTTCAAAGCAGCCATCTGGAGCACTTTATCTCATTTATCTGTCAGACTGTACAAGATAGATTGGGTAGACAATTCAGGTGGTAGTTACCTGCTCTCCTTAACTTCCTTTCTCCCTCCCAATCTGATTTGAGCTTGGGTTTGACCCACTCTTATGGATTCCTTCTCTACACCATGCTGAGAATGGTACATTGGACACCCATCACGGTGGCCCATTCTGAGACATGCAAAGGAGGAATTTTCTCCCATCATGTATTTGTCTTACTCCTGGCCATTCTGGTTGCATTCTGTGGGTACTACTACTTTTCTTTCTGTTTTTCATTTCTTATGTTCTGTCCTGAGCTACAGCTGGGAGAGGGAATTACTGGGAGAGGGTTTTGGAGCTAGTAAAAACTCTTCCAGCCTGCTTCTGATCTGAGCTGTGATCTGTTAAATATGTTGTGGATTTTTCCTTTGCACCTACCAGAATGGACCCTGACGGTGAGTTCCCAGTATACCATCTTGTATAATGTCAGGAAATCGGACAAGTTAACATCGGACGTATACTCTTCTCTTTAAGAGCCAAAGAAGCCTTCAAGATGGGATATGTCTGACAAAGAGAAGAAGAAAAAGGATGCTATCAGTGAGTTCATAAGCTTAGCTCGATCAAAGGTTGTTGTCCAGGAGCAGCCACAAACTCCAGTTGAAGCAAAACACAAAAATGAGACTGAACCTGCTTCCAGTCAGGTAGAGCGGCTCTTAAGTTTTTCATGCTTCTGTTGTACTTTCCTATTGTACTTGTACTATTCTACTTTACTCCATGAAGGTAGAATATTGGCATTAGGCTGACAGAGTTCGTCACCTTGTTGTAATTATGACCTGCAGCCTTAAAATAGAGTTCATACTCTTATATAATTATAATATACCTCACTATAATGCCTCACCCTGTTGTTCAATCAAAGTGAAGCTGATCTCTATGCTAATTGTGCTCAGCATGGGATAACTAATTTGGGATCCGGCATTCCTCCAGCAGCAAAATTAAAATCCCAGAAATAGGATGGAAGGGTGAATGTAGCAACAGTGACAACCGTTCAGTACAACTGTTATGTCACATTACTATGTGTACGTGGCACAGATCAACACTTAATGATAACGTGAACCCCGTGCTAGTGTCTTTTGCACTCTTTCAGATGTGTAACTGTGGCGTTCACCCTTGTGACACCTGCGTGTTTTGCCCTCACAAAGGCTCACGTTGCATTTTCCTCTCGCTGCCACGAGTGGATTACCTCAATCCACAATATAAATGACATTTGTCAGAACACTTGTCTTGTGAATACAAACAGAACTTATTTATTGAAGTGAAGCAGATTTAATAATAACAGATGTTCTTTAGATAAACATTGTACACAAGCAAATCATTACTAGTTCTCTCAGTACATACTTTTCTCTTGCATTATCATTGCCACCTTCTCTACCTATTTTCTTAACCAGCCTTATCACTCAGTATCTGTTCCCTCGCTCTCCGACTGACTAACCAGCTCTAACTCTATCTGGCTCCTCCTCCTCCTGCCAAACCTTCATATAGCTGCTGACTCCGCCTCTCCAGCCCTCTCATAGGCTCATGCAAATCAGCTCATGACTATGAGTAGCCTAATGATGTGGGGCGATTGTCACAGTAACCTTTCAACGATAGGTGACTGCCTGCACTATCCTATCATAGGCTTCCATAACCTAGTAGACAAGGGATGTGTTTGTGTCTTTTTTTTGCCATCAGGTCAGAACCTAATTATAATGATCCTAATAGGGCTTTCAAGGTAAGTGAGATATCTAAGGAGTGGTTTTACCAGTTCCCCAGTGAGTTTCCACGGCTGAGTAGCGATTCGAACATACTCCTTCACTCCATTGCATCACACTGGGACAAGGGATACATGCACGCAATCCCTGGGGTGCACTTTCTGGTCTTGGGTTTGATTTCTTTTTGGTTTCAGTATACCAGAAATTCCAGGGTTTGCCAGGGCGACTCAGAAACGAAGTCTGTTCTGCAGGGGAGAGACACTAGACAATAATGCTGAAGAAGCAGCCGTACCCCTTGTGAGAGTCAGGAACAGGCAGCCAGTCTCATCCAGGCATCAGAGATCTCGGAGGCCTCTTTATGGCATTAGGAAAAGTGGTTTGACAAAGAGGACGAGTCTTGTGACAAATTCCCTAGATAAATCAGGAATCGCTCTTAGAGAAGTATATTTTTGTATGTGTAGGAATTTGCTCACGCTCTTTGCATAAAAATGAGAAATATTAAAACAGTAGGGGCTGTTTTTGTCTTGATGGGGAAATATATTGCCAATGTATGACTCCTGTTTTACATTTGTCTCTGTTGTGCAGATAGCAGGTGAAGGCATTGGCCCGAAGGAGGAAGTGCCAGAAGAAAGCAGGCCTTCTATGGATTTATTTAAAAGTATCTTCGCTAGCTCCTCAGATGAAAAATCATCTTCATCTGAAGAAGAGAGTGATAATGAAGAAGAAACAGTGACAGAAGCAGCTCCTGAGAATTTGAAGCAGCATGCTCATTCACTTGATGCTCAGGGTAATAAGGACTCCATCCAGATGGCATTCAGAGATGACACCAAACAACTTTTTGGTACTGGTAATAATTACTCATGTCGTTTAGCTGTTTCCTTGTCCTTAAGCATACAGTATCAACTAGTTAACTTCTGTTTTTATGCAATTTGTAATCTACCACTAAATTCAAATCAAGAAAAGGTTTTGAACATTCTTTCTTAACCAAGAATGAAAACAGTGGGTTGGAAGCATTGATTTTTCAAATATTAAAGGTCCCTGCCCCAAGGCTCTCAAAGACTTCCCCAGGGCAAAAGAGATCCCTAAGGAGTCTCAGAACCTAAAGGCCAGGGATAGGAAATTTTAAATTAAATTGAAGATTAGTGTCAGTGGGTGATGGCATAATCACCATTTACACCTAGTGGAGTTGCACAACAAGATTTCAGCCATTATATAAATGTGTCTTACCCAGCAAATATCCCATCCAAGACATGGCCCAGTATCTGTTGTACTCCTATGTGGCCTTTTGGTAAAAATCTGAGAATTCTAGCCCGATCAAAACTCTTCAGGTCTCAAATTTCTTCCTTAAGGAGGATATGCTCTGTGAAGGCATCTTCTCAAGTCTACTGTATGTTATCTGGATCTTGGATGGGCTTTCAAATCAAGGGAACTTGATTATTACTCATGATCACTGGGCAGTCCTTTAAACATGATTACCAAAGTGCCACCACACTTTTTTAAAAATGCTTTTTTCTTATTGAAGGAAGTGAAGCCTCCATACCTGAAGTTTCTGTCACTGTAACTTCAGCTGTGAAGAAAGCAGTTGATCCAGAAGAATTTGGACCACAGTTGCCTCCAATTGCTTCCTCTGGTAAATATATTTCACAACAATGTGTGAATTCTGTGCAACGTTATAAAGAAATTGTATCCAGATGGTTTTCCTTATTAAAGATTATGTGCAGAAATTCATCCAGATTCTTAAAGGTGATATTTCTTAATGGTGCTTCAGAGATAAACAGTGAAGGCTAGTAGCTATATGTATTTGGATTAATCAATAAAACTGTTAAAATTAATATAAAATAAAAATAAACAAAACTGTTAAATGACAGTTTAAATAAAACTGTTTAAATCAATCAGTCCTTGGATTAATTTTACAGTAAAATAAAAATGTATATTGAATAAATTCTTCAAACTTGTCTCAGTGCTCAGCGACGTCTACGTTGGCTTGGGCATGTAGTGAGAATGGCTGATGGTCGGATTCCAAAAGATCTCCTGTATGGAGAATTAGTGAAGGGAAATTGCCCAAGAGGGAGACCACAGCTGCGATACAAGGATATCTGCAAGTGGGATCTGAAGGCCTTAGGAATGGATCTCAACAGATGGGAAACCCTGACATCTGAGTGTTCAGCCTGGAGGCAGGCGGAGCACCATGGCTTCTCCCAATTTGAAGAGACCCTTGTCCAGCAGGCCAAGGCAAAGAGGCAGTCCCGAAAGCAGCAAAATCAGGGAGCTGGACGGGACAGATTGGATTTGTCTTCAGTGTGGAAAGGATTGTCACTCTCGAATTGGCCTTCTCAGCCACACTAGACGCTGTTCCTAGTCCTCCATACAGAGCACGCTACCATAGTCTTTTGAGACTGAAGGACGCCTATAATGCCAGATGACTTTTTTCCTCTTCATAAGTGACATGATTCTTGAAACTTACAGTATGCATCTTGTGGATGCTTTAGCATGCTTTGTATAATTTAGAGGGGAATGAAGATCAAATTTTGCTGGGAAAAGAATGGTTCTTTAAATCCACTGGAGTTCTGTGCTTTTGTGTTGACTCCTTTTTGTGAATAATTGTCTTAAGCATGCAAATATTTTGCTCACTAGGAAAAAGTATTCTTAACAATGTAACAAACCTTGGGGTAAACTCAGGCTAGCTTCAGTTAGAATACACCTGTTGAATGAATGGGACATATTAGTTGACTCATATGTAAATCCTATGAAATCAGTGGGTCTAGTCTAGTTGGGACTAACAATTGAATTTAATCTCAAGAAAATTGCTCTGATGAAAAAATCTGAAATTTCATTAGAAATACTACTGTCACCCACAAACCCCTGAAAAAGGAGAATCAGAATCTTGCTTCTCTCAGACATACTTGCAAGGAATTACTTGAATAGTTTTATGTGATTTGTGTAAATTTTGTTTTTAATCTTAATACTTTTAGATGCTTCTTTTAAGCACGAGGAACTACAACTTGCAGAATCTCCTGAACTCACTAAGAAAGAAAAATCTAAAAAGAACAAAGAAAAACACAAGATCAAGAGAGAACACAAACACAAAAAGGAAAAAGTAATTTACTTTGATTCTGGAGTGGGGAGGGTAGAAGCTAAGATTTATACAAAAATATAGAAAATGTTATCATTGAATAGCTTTGAGCTGTTCTAAATCTTAAAACCTCATACAGATGGTTTCCTGCCCAACACAGGACTTACTAATCCGATTCACATCCGGCTCCTCCTTCTACCTGCAACCATTCACGTGACCTTCATGCTTGCCTAATGACCTACAGTGGTGCCTCTCAAGATGATTTTAATTTGTTCCATGGAAATCGCTGTCTTGTGAAAACATTGTCTTGTGAAACCCAATTCTCCATTGGAATGCATTGAAATCCATTTAATGCGTTCCAATTGGAGAAAAAATCATTGTCTTGCGAAAATAGTCCATAGAAAACATCTTGCAAAAACACAGTTCCCGATACCATAATCGGGAAAAGCAATCCCCTCACCTGCACTGCCTTTAGAAATTCAATGGGTCTCAGTTAGCCTTCCCCCTCTTTCTCTCTCCAGCAACAAAGAAAGAGGGTAAAAGGAGTCAAAGCAGCCCCTTGATTCCTGATAATGATGACTCAGTTGCCGTGATCCTTTACCACAGGGGAGAAAAAGAGAAAGAATGCAATACAAGACATCACCAGGACTTGCTGCCTTTGGAATAAATAGGTTCTGATGAGGAGAAAGAGAGGTGAAAAGAAATCTAGAAAAGCCAGGGAAATCACAAGTGCAATCTCCCCTTAACACAGATTATGCAGTTGAGTTCCCCACATTTGGGGAAATCACAGGATATGCTAATACCTGTGCACTAGAGGATTGTGGGAAGAACACTTAGCCCCTGATGGGGGTCCCGCAGGGCACCCCCAAAACACTGAGGAGCTCTCTTGACCTCTAGCAGGACTGGGGCTGTGCAGCCCTGTACTGAGTGGGAGGTGCAGCCAGGGGGTCACCATGACTTGGGGGGTCAGGGGAGAGAAGGGGGTAGGAGATGCAAGGGCCATTCCAACTCATACTTTGTAGGGGAAATACACTGTTGTAAAAATTGTTTTCCCAGGGGGAGGCTCATCCGTTGCACTTTGGGTGTGCTGCTAATCCCTGTGATTTTCCTAAATGTGGGGAACTCAACTACATAATTTGTGTTAATGGGGGCATCATGTATGTGATTTCTCTGGTTTTTTTTACAATCTCTGTAGTGTTTGGTTCCTTGCTGTTTTCACGATCCCCTACCATTTAAATTTGCAGCCATAGCCCCATTGGCAATGCTTTGCAAGATGGTTTGCAAGATGCTTTAATCCCTGTGATTTTCCTAAATGTGGGGAACTCAACTACATAATTTGTGTTAATGGGGGCATCATGTATGTGATTTCTCTGGTTTTTTTTACAATCTCTGTAGTGTTTGGTTCCTTGCTGTTTTCACGATCCCCTACCATTTAAATTTGCAGCCATAGCCCCATTGGCAATGCTTTGCAAGATGGTTTGCAAGATGCTTTGCAATTGAAACACATTAATTACATAAGACCTACTTTTTAATCCCAAAAAAGTGGGGGAGAAAGTGTATGCTGGTGTTTTTCCAGGAGGCAGACCCTGAAAAGCCAGCAACATACATTTTCATCTCAGCAACATATATTTTTTGGGATAAAAAAGTAGGTCTTATGTAATTAATGTGTACCAATTGGGGAGAAAACTGTGTTGCGAAACAGGGTCCAAAACCTGTCTTGCGAGGCAAGGACCCAAACATCCAGCGAAAATTGCCCATAGGAACAATTGTTTTATGAAGCACAACATCACTCAAAAAAGTCATTGTCTAACTCATTGTCTAACTAATTCCTTGTCTAGCGAGGCACCACTGTACATGTATCAAGTCCAATGAATTTAACTTTTGTTCATGCCATTTGTATTTAACAAAATCAGACTGTTCAGCTTGAGCCTATGCACATAAACTGAAATCTCTGGATAAACATCTAGTAGAGGAAGGAGTGTTCCGTGTGATTCTTAAAGAAATCTTATATCAAACAAAGAGAGATTGGGAGTATCAGCATAGAGCCAGTTTTGTTTTGCTTTGCTTTTATAAGAATAAAATTCATTACTTTTTGATAAACATCCATAGTACAATCCTTACTTTCTGATACATATCCATAGCACATGCCTATTATAGTGGTGCCTCGCACAGTGGTGCCTCGCTGTGTGAAAACATCGCTGAACAGGGCAGAAAAGCCCAGTCGGCTGCTGTACTCACCGTTCAGCGATGTTTCTCCGATGGCCGGCAGCCATTTTCGCGCCCTCCCCTCGCTTAATGAGGGCGCGAAAACGCTGTGTGCGGCCGTTTTGCAGCTTCTGGCGGCCATTTTGTAGCCGCCGAACAGCTGATCGGCAGGTCACAAAGCGAAGGTCGGTAAGCGAACCGCTTACCGACCTTCACTCTGTGATTTTTCCCTATTGAGGCATCGGTATGCAAACCGGCCTCGTAGAGCGAATTCATCGCTCTACGGTGCACTCGTTGTGCGAGGCACCACTGTATCCTCATTTTACCTTTTTGTTAGGAAATAGCAATTGTACTATGTTGCAGTTACACATAGCATAAATTTTTCATTTGCTATTTGTTTTAGCTTCCTCTTTCCGTGTTAAATTTCTTGCTCTAAAGTACAGAGATAAATTAATTTGAAAACTAACTTTTACAGAAAAAGCATAAGAAATCAAAACGCAAGGGTAAACACAAGATTAAGAAATCTGAGAAGAACAATACTTCAGACACAGCTAATAGTGACAGTAACAGTGAAGAACAAATGACAGATATACCACCACAAGAACTTTTAAGAAGGTAATAAAATGAAGATGCTAACTTTTTGTACCTTTGATAAATTCCTGATGCCATTTTAAAAAACTGATTCTGGAGTGAGCAGTCAACATTAGGATCTTACCTTAGTGATCTGATCCTCCAAGGTCACTCTGCCTAAGCGTATCTACTCTGAAATAACTCTCATTCAGTTTAGTGGAATTTACTGTAGATAAATATGGGTAAAATGTAGCTTGAGTTATTTTTTAAAAAGGAATTAGAAACTCATTTTCGCCCTATGAATGCTGATAACTCTTCCCTTTTCTTTCAGGCTGAAGCATCTTCCACTGGTAAAGCAGTAGCTTGGCTCCTTCAACATTCTTTGGTCTCAAAGTAGATCTCCTCTATGATGGCAGATCAATAGTACAAAGTATATTTGAATGTCCTGTATATACTATGTTTATGTTGGATTTGATAGCATAAAAGCATGAGTTCTTTTTGTGGTTTCAAAGTTAAAGAACAGAGACAATGTGGATTGTTGGAAAAGATTCTTCTCCTTTAAGTATTATAATAATGGAAATAATTTTGACAGTTCTGCATTTTAATGAAAATAAGGATGAATTTTTTTAATAAAACAAAATTTACTAATCTTACACCTATTGTCTTACAATGAATTCTTTAAAAGTCCTGTTAAAGCAGGAATGTCCACTGAAATTTGCTTGCATTAATATTTAGGATCATTTTTTAAAAATGTAGCCTAGTTGTAAAAATACACTTAAAAGGCAGAAAGCTAGAGTGCTTCAGTTGTGTAATGAGAAATGAAAAATACAGGTTGTTACAGGTGATCATTCAAGGTAAAATAAGTAAGTGATTAAAAATTCAAACCCAAGTGAGCTGTAGACTTTATGGATGGTTCTGCAAAACATTCTTAGACCAGTTAGGAACCCCTTCAAACAATGGTTCACCTTGACTTTGTCTGACCACCTGTTGCCATATTCTTGGCAATTGGTTCACATTCCTGATCTCTAAGCCAGAAAAAGATCCTCAGGAGCTTGATTTTGCCTTTTTACTTTTATAAACCAAAGCCAAAAAACATTTCCCACTGTTACTCAAATGGATTGGGAAAAGTTACAAAGCCACATGTGGGAGGGGATCAATGTGGGTTTTTCAAAATAAGACACATTACTGATCCTATTCCAAGGTTGTACATTGTTACCTGCTCCAGCAAAAGCAACTCATGTTTGCAACAAGATTGTTCTGTGTATCAGAAGCATTTGACAAACTAGAAATATTTATTCTGTATCAGTATAGCAACAGATCTTGGTATATCCCCCGATACGTGTTTTCATGCTATCTATACTCAGCATAACACTATTATTAGAAAAAAATGGTTTGAATTTTTTTCCATTCCCAATTCATAGATGTATATCCACTAGAGATGAGGGTACATTTTTTCCATTCCCAATTCATAGATGTATAAAATGGGTTTACCCTGTTTAGCCCCAAAGAGATGCCTTCAAAGTCAATATTCATATACAAATATGAATATCCCCCCATTTCGGCACTGCCGTGCGCTCCACAGAGCCTTCCTGTTTCTCCGTTGCTCGCGATGGATTAGCCACTCTGCAACCTGGCAGAGAAGCTATCGTGAGCAATAGAGCAATAAGAAGGTTCCGTGGAGTTTGCGGCAACAGTGAAATTGTGAATAGTTGGTCTGGCCCCGGGGAGCCAGACCCTCATCTGCACCTGTGGGGGGATATTTGTATACAAATATCCACATCTCTAATATCCATGGTTTTCAGCATCCATGGGGGAGCAATCCCCCGCAGATACCACAGTCCTATTGTATTCAAAGTCATATCTGTTTTTCAGTCTCTGTGCTAGTGATGTGGTGGTTGCCATGACCCGTTGTAAGTTGGAAATCCCCAGGATCCTGGAAATTATTTCCAGCTAACATAAGCTAGCAGGTATAACAACAGAGATGCCCAGGATATTGGGTATTAACACTAAAAAACAAGAAACTTCCCTGCTCTGTCAACAGATATACCATTTACGGGGTTGGGGTTATGCCAGCTAGATTAAGTAAGACCATTTCATTTATCTACCCCAAATATTGCACCATATTCAATACAAAAATCTGAACTGAAATGAAATGGAAGCTGTCGTGGCTGGGAAGAATGACAGCTCTAAAGGTCTCAGTCATCCCTAAACTGTTATTTTTGTGCTGTTCCTATTGGTATTTTGGAAAGGCTCTCCAAAGTTTGGCAACAAAACTTTCCCAAGTTTATTCATCATGGTAAACACTCATGGATAGCTAATGCAAAACCACTGAGAAGATTTTGCTTCTTCTTCATGGGTGACAGGATAGTATCTTCTTTCAAAATCAAGGCAGCAAACTTGGGGCCGTTTCTGTGGCATGAACAACTCTTTTTCTCCATCAGAATACAGAATTCGAGAAAAAGCCAGAATGCTGTCACAGTAGCACCCTAGCATCTTACCCTAGCATCTTACCACCTAGTCCCTCTGTCTAATGGAAAGGCTGAATCTGCATCCCAGCTAAAAAAGTACTATTCTTTGAAAAAGATCCCTGATTAGCAGAATATAAAAGTTAGCAGAATATAAATCCGCACCCCTAAGCAATATCAGCCTGTTGCGGGGTGAAAATTGCAGGAATTAAAGACAATTTAATATTTGATAAGGTACATAGTTGAATTTTCAAATAAAAGCTGTGAGCTGATTGTGTTTGCAACTACATTGTGAATCAAATCTACATTACTGTGATGTGATTTGAAGTCTGTATTACATCTGAAATCTCAATCAGTGCTCACATCATGCCAGGAGTTAAAAATCATATGTGAACTGAGTCAAAGTGATTCTTGCATGTGTAACTTGAAAGTATGAGAAAGGAGTAACAGGTGACAAGAAGTCATGATGTATTTTGAAAAATCATTTTCACATTTTTTATGTTCTTTGTTCTGAGACTGAGTGCCTTTCCATGGTATTTTTTAATAAAAAGTTTTTTCAGAAAGGTAGTAGTCTGAAGCTTTAAATGAGAAAGCAGCATCACAGAAAAACATAATCAAAGTGCTTTGCTTTTATATGTCACCCTCCCAAGTCCTTAACATTACACTCCAACTGCCTGTGTCACCACAATACTACCTACAGATATGCCCTTTGCCTTTACAAGAA